AAGTCGGTTAAAAATAAAAAATACGAGTCTAATATTTTTTCATTATCTAACTGACGAACTAATTTTGTTTTTAAATTTGATACCCTGGAAACTACCCTATTGATTTTAGAAACCTAAGTAGAACTGGTGAAAAAAAAAACTTGCATTTTGGTTGGATTGCAGAAACATTCTTTTGGACACCAACTATAATTATTATTATTAGTTACCCTCGCCTTAAACACTCTTTGATGGTAACTGTCCATTGTTCACCGATCCACTCCTATTTTATTCGTAATCCTTTCCCTACTACTAACTTAACGGTTATGGAAATGAAAAACCTGCCACCGGTCCACCACGCGCGCAAAAGGAAACACGTACTTTGTATTTGTAATATGGAAATTGTTTAAAATCACAAAAATAGTTCGTAAACTAAAATTTTTACACTAAACAAAGCATTAGAACTGAACGAAAACATGTTTTCTCAGATTTTATGTTTACTCGGTAATAATGATAATAACCTCACCAATCACGCATCATCACCAAATAAGAATGAATATCAAATCCAGTTATTTGATCGTTAGGCGGTTTTACCTAGGTTGTTGTTGGGAAATGGATAATTATATAGATTTCGATGTGGTCTTATAACTTCTAGGTATTCGAATTTAAACATTAAAATTAGCAAAAATATTAATTAGAGAACATAACGTATAATTTGGTCATCTCATTACATTACACATTTACGTATTTTGTTATTATAATTAAGGTTTTTACGTTTTTATTATCATAAGAATGCAATACATTTCGCTTGTTTTGAGATGGAAAATCATCAAATGTGGGGGGACATTTGATGATTTAGTCCCAACTGTTTAGGTATATATATATATATTTTTAATGCAGGCTCAAGCCCGTGGCTTACACGGATTTAGAAGTTCGAATCTTCTTAACCTTCTGACCGCTACCGCTACTGACAGGCACGTATAAAGACATACCAAAATTTGCCCGGAGCGGTTTCGATGAGTTGATATTCTTCTTCAACTTCTTAAAGCCAAACAAAGACGTTGAAGAAAAGGCGTACGTAATGTCACTTAAAAATGATTGGTGGTTTATTTTTGTGTGCGTGTGTAATGGGTTACCCCTTACCACATTACGAGACATAAGAAAATTCCCCGAGATTTTAAAATAATTTGAATAAATATTTTTGAAATTTTGAGACTTATTTTTGTGTGCTGCTTTTTACCATGATTATTGGTATTTAAGGAGGATATTCAATTCAACGTATTCAACCGTGGCATTAAATTCAGGAAGTTAGTTATGCATTGTTATATGATTTATAGCCAAACTATTTATTCTTGGCTATTTTTAAAAGTAAGTAATAATGCCCAATACAAATAAAATGTTTATTATTATTGACATTATTTAACTTTATTAATTGAGCAAATTTTATAACAACATTTGCAACTGTTTTGTTTTTATTTGTATCCAATAATTCTTCCATGCATTTTTTGCAGCGGAAACTCTATCAAACATAAAATAATGATGTAACTTAAATGGAGATATATATCTACCTACTTCAAAACGTTTACCCAAATTCAGAATTAATAATAATATTAAGTAACCTGCAAGACCGTAGTGTATGAAGTGTAATAACAGGCCATGTCACGCGACAGATGTCCTTCGTGTCAATGTGTGTATGTTCTGCGTGTGAGTCTATAGTAGCCTGGTGCCACAGTCGTTGTTTCAAAAGACTGTGCCCGTCTCTTTTTTCTACGTGTTTGAAGTCAAATAATGTAATAAAATAATTTGTTAGTTTATCTCTTCTTATTTTTATATGAAGTAAACTAGGTATTCTTTTTCTTCTTTTCTTTTTTAAAAAAAACGTTGCCCCACACTAGGATTTTCTCCTGTGTCGTGGGTGCGTTTACAAACACACAAGTTCACATACACAATGACACCCAGACCCGAAACAACAATTTGTGGATCACACTTAGTGTTGTCCCGTGCGGGAATCGAACCCGCGATACGTTGCACGGCAGCCGGTTGCCCAGCCACCGCATCAACCGTGCAGTCAATTCAAGTCAAGTATATTTTGTAAATTTTATCTTTACTAGGCTGCACTTGGCCGCAAAAAACCCCTCGCAAGAACTTACGAATTGATTCGCATCGCGTATCAAAATCTTATCTTCCCAAAATCTTCTTTAGTAAGGTTGACAGTCATCGAAGGAATGGCCACCCTGGGAGACGCCTTGTCTGTCGCACGTAATCGCATCGCAGCAATTCGCATCGTAATTTTCTGCGTTGCAAATTCGCATTGCATCGCAGATTTGTGTACAAGCCCTAAAAAGGCAAAAATAATATTGTTGCACGACAAGTCTATGGTGCATAAAATAGAATGTGTAATTTCAACTTAACATGAATTCGAAGTTTGGCGCCGAGACATCCTTATAGATCCTTATAAATGATGGCGTAATTAAATGGGTTAAGCACCATAAAACCTTAATTACGTACCAGATACAACGTACCTACTTACATTGTTACAAGTGTCATCAAAATATTGTATGCTCTTTTTTATATGAAAGTGCTCGATATATTGCTTTACTCGTAAAAAATTTCACTTTTGTGTGTTCAAATGAAATCTAGTTATGTAACCCAATTGCTTTCTAAACTCCTGTTGTTCGTTTTATAAAAATGCCGTTTTCACCAACTACCCCTAAACCATCTATTAACTAAGAAATTCTGAGCGTGTGGAAGCATAAATCTAAGTCCATTAGTAAAAATCAAAATGTCGCAAACTATAACCTATCTTAGCTTAGGTATTCTTTAAAATTTTAAACTGTATTTGTAAATATTTTTGTGAAACAATACATAGACAACAATACACTGAGGTTCGACAAATTAACTCATTGACAATGACAGAGGAAGTATACACATCCAAAGCTGGGACTGCTCAATTTGGCGTTCCACAAGGAAGTGTTCTGGGTCCTCTGTTTTTTCTCATATATATAAATGACATGCCTTTAATCACTAAATATGACCTTACACTATTCGCTGAAGACAGCACAGTCCTATTTATCGATGATAACATGACAAATTTAGAAAATGACGTAAATAGAATCTTGCCAAATATTGTACAGTGGCTTATTACCAATGAATGTCGATAAAACTAAAATAATGAATTTTAGAATACGCAACAACGCATTGATCATTTGACTATACGATACCACTATAGGAAAATAGATGAAACTGAAGTTACAAAATTCCTGGGCTTAAATATAGACAATAAAATTAACTGGAAACTACATATTGACCATGTTTGTAAAAAGCTTAACCAATTCTCATATGCCCTAGTAGACTCAGAAAAGTTGCAAATCAAACTACCCTTAAGACAGCGTATCATGGTTATGTCGGATCAACCCTAACATATGGCTTAGTCGCGGAGAACCTAACGGGTAACCGGGGCTCCGGCTCGACGTGCAGGAGAAGGAACGGGGTGGTTTTTAGTCAGTAAGAGTCTGACACTCCCTCCCGCCTCACCCAGGCGGGGGCAGTCATTCGATGATTTTCCCCCCTTAAAAAAAAAAAAAAAAACATATGGCTTAATATTCTGGGGCAACAGTACTGACAACGTTAGGGCATTTGTAGCGCAGAAACGTTGTTTAAGGGCTATTTTTAAGTTGCAAGGAACTGAGTCGTGTATCCCATACTTTAAAAAACATAACATCCTTACTTTACCAAGTCTGTACATGCTTGAGGTCGCGTTATTTGTTAAAAACAATCCCAAACTATTTACCTTCCGTGAGCGCGTAAGACACGAAAATAAAGCGTAAGACACGAAAATAAATTACACATAGTTCCAAGCAAAACACATCTAATGCACGAGAGCATATTCTGCATAGTATCGAGGATATTTAATAATATACCGGGAGATATAAGAAAGATCAAAGAAACAATCAGATTCAAAAAGAAATTAAATGACCTATTGGGAAATAGATGTTATTATACTATAAATGATTACCTAACTGACAAAACCCTGCTACAATATTCTATACCAAAATCATGACGTGTTCAGTATTACCTGTTGTACATAATTTTATTAAATAAATCATAATAAATATTTGACATAGGCATTTATTGACATGACATATGTAATTTCTATATTAATTTCTTGTTTATCATAACATAACATCACGCCTTTTATCCCCGAAGGGGTAGGCAGAGGTGCACATTACGGCAATAAGCTTAATGCCACTGTACAATGTAACACCCACTTTTCACTATTTATGTTATGAGTCCCATGTAATAGGGGGTGAGCCTATTACCATATACCGGGCACATTTCCAGACTCCGTGCTACTCTACTGTGGTTTTTACAAACCCAGTAATATTTTGCCCGACCCGGGAATCGAACCCGAGACCCCTTGCCCGGCAGTCACACTTTCGACCACTCGGCCAATGAGGCAGTTTCTTGTTTTATTATATAATTAACTGATATGAACATTAATATCGTACCCAACTATTGTACGCCCAATGGGCAGGACACAGCTGAGCTCAACCAAATTATGATATCAACTGTATTATGTACCTACCTGTGATCTACAATGAATAAAATGAATTTGAATTTGAAAATTTAAAAGAGGTTGATGGAAACTGCCACGCGACGTGTCACAGGAACAGACTCGTTTGCCAAAGAAGAGAGAGAGAAAAAAAAAGGACTGGAGACGAGTCGCTTTCGTTCGTTTTTCATGGCTCGTCTTCTGCTTACCTTTACCTGCTAATCTGCTACTACTGCTAATATTAGTATTAACTCCGAAAATAATAATGTTTTTTATTGGTTTTTGGCCTATAATTAATAGATAAACAGTATACTATTTAGAGAGGTACAAGGTTTTTTCTTCTAGCATTATTAAGTTTGCAATTACTTACATTTGCAAGTACTACGTTAGTTCAATTTAACTCTAAGATTACCTTTAGAAGCTACTTTTATTGTCATTAATAAGTGTTAAAATTACTTTTTCCTTTTTACAGTGGCGGAGAAGATAGTTCAAGCAATACGTGCCCAATTGCTGCCACTGCTGCGGCGCCAGCTACGTGGCGTGGTACAAATGACAGCGCCACCGAGTATTGCCGCCGTGGTAACACGCCCGCCGCGTACGGCAGGTACCAGCGCAACAACTCAACTGCACCTTATTCCACACCACCCTCTAATGTTGAAAGGTATTTATTAAATTTTTTAAAATACCAAGGCTTGGGCTGAGGATCTTCCCAATCATCCAAATAACAATAAAGTAAATATCAAATTACTGCATCCGTATAATAAACTATTTTAATTGTCATTCACTATAAATGCATACTTAATTAATATTTATGGTGAATATTTGTATTTTATTAATATTATAATAATTATATTTGTATTTTGTATTGGGAAAATAGAAATGGATGTACTTAGAGGATGCAGTATGCAATTAAAATAAATATTTTAGTGGTCAGTGAAAGCCGTAAGTGAATAGGAATTACTCGCAATGTGGGATTTGATGACAGTTAAGTAATGAACCTAATAAAGAATAACATTTTGATTTAATATAATGATCTGAAAGGTCATGGCCCATAATCCGACCCGGTTCAGAAATGTTTTTGTACAAAAACGAAAATGGTGGTAAATAATGCAAGTATAATCCACTTTTCATTATATGTAAAAAGAAAAAAATAATTCGTTGGAGAAATCTTGCAGCAGACCAATAAAAATTGGATAATAATTAGCGGTTTCGCCAGTCTGTAAATTATTTTATCCTTGGAAACATGTCACTTGGGTAAAAAGTATACTATGTCCGACTCTAAATCAAAAAATATATCTATACACAGCAATTTAATCAAAACCGACCAAATGGTCTGTACACATTAGAAGTATACAGACACCGCACGTTGGTTTTTTTTTTTTTTTTTTTTTTTGTTTATATGATGTGACCTCATGCGGTAACATCATAAAGAAATTACAATCTAGCTTTAATGCTAATAAGTAATTCTATTTTGTCTTAATTTGCTAGGAAAGTATACGCACGTTGGTTGACAACAAAATATTAATTAGAGGGAGAATACAGTCTCGACATGTCAGAAGTTAACAATATTATACTTATGTTTTGGTTAATGCAACACGACATGGTCGAGAGAGTATCGAGGGATACTACTGCTCATGCATTCACGGCCGCCGCACTGTAGGAAGTTGTGCCCATATTGTGAACATAGTGTACTTTTTATCCTGGGCCAGACATCAAGAAAATATTGAAACACATCAATGTCTAAAACAATGTCTAAAACATCAAGGCTGAATAAACATAAAAAAAATGTATTTTATTTTCTCCTCCCTAAAACTACAATTTATAAGTAAGTTTTCATATTAGGTAGATTACATTTTTTTATTATTATTCTTTCATGATCCCCATGAGCCACAGCAATGCGCCACTTATCATTGAAAAGTATAATCATTTGTCTTTGATTCCCGCCATATTTTATTTCTGTACGCCGTGGGTATATTCTTCACACTAAATGGGCCATTACCTTTATAATAATAATATGCAAAACGTGAGGAAAATTCCGTAAATTAATATGACATAGTTATAATAGATATAAATTAACTGATTGTAAAATCATGAACGTGTATTTATATCCACATGTATCACTAAAAGGCCTGTGATTTCACTCCATATGGATGTGAAAAGAGATCATCACAGTTGATAGTTCTACAGCTTTTAGCATTGCGGGGAAATTCAACAAGATACAATAACAATAACCACAGTACTTGTTGTCAATGTCACGTTTTGCATATTTAACTCTATACAGTGTTTGTACTATCATGCATGATAAAAAAAATATGAAGTAACTTTGCTTGTCTCTATTTAACTCATTCTCTAATATGTTTGTATCATGCACGTGTATGTTATGTAGTTTTACGTACATAATATACATATGTACTTATACATGCCATTTAAACAGCACCTTTATTTACCCTTGAGTGTTATGTAATATGCACATTTAATGTACCTGAAGATTTCCTTTGCTTTTGTAAAAATGCCTTATAAAAGTATGCATTTTATTTATACCCTGCATTTATTTCACACATCTTTATCTATCATTTTTAATGTTAAGAATAAAAAGCATACATTACATCTAAAAATGGACAGTTTTAAAATATAATACTTTGTTGCTTATGCAAACTTCTTCAGCCACAAAGGTTCTGTTTTTTCTGGCATTAATTTTGTTATTGTATAAAATAAATTCTTGTAATATTTATAGGTGTCAAATAAAGAGCTAATGGAATGTGGTGTCGAATTAATTGTTGCCAAATTATATTATATATTAATTTCCTGATTCTATGTTATCGAAAATATTAGAAAGCTGCAATAATAAATAACTACACTATATCAAAGCCTTTATTTCTCTTCACTAAACACTTATGAATATTTAATGCATTTCCATAATTGTACTCTAATATGACAAATATGAATTTCAGAACAACTCCACATCACCGATGGTACGCAAATAGCGATCGAGTTGCTGGTGCGACAGGCGGTGAAAGTACACCTAGTACACCAGGTGGCGGGACCGAAGGAGGACGTCGGCGCCGTAACTCTGGCTCCGGCTCGTCACGATCTGACTCGAGTTCTCCCGAACCGAGCGATACTTCAAGAGCTTCGACGCCAGCCGCACAACCATCACTCTCTCACCATACCAACCATCGGACGCCGCCATCTTTACAACACCAAGTATGTCCCTAAAATAATGCCTTTGTATTGATTACCCATCTAGTCTACATTATATAGTTTTGAAGAAAGAATTACTGTTTGTATGTTATTATTAATTGAAGTAAGATTTGCTTAAATTTAGAACCTTCAAAGGTTCGGTCCTACTTTTAGAGAAAGTTTTAGCTAATAGTAGGTACTATTAACTATTGATATAAACGTGTACGCTCTCCATTTAAGATAATATTCCTCAAATACTAATACGATTTTAGTTATATATTTCCATCGCATTTGATATTTTTTCTAATAGGTAGTTGAGTTTAAATTAGTAAAATAGATGTCTCATGTTTACACAGAAGTTAAGTTGTATTATATTCGCATTTTCGTTTATTTTTTATTAATAAGGAACTAAACCTTCCGTTGTTTAATTCTCCTTCTAGCAAATATACATAATATTATTGATAGCTGTAACATAATAATAGCATGTTGACGTATGATAAATAGTGCATTTATGTGTTTCACATTATGTGAGATTTTGTCAATCGTCGTCGTATACTTGAGTCACTTGCATATTACTATTATTGTTCATCACAAAGAAGATTCCACTTTTGTGATATAAGCTATCGTTGAAGATAATACTAGACATTAGTGGTTCCTAAAACTTTGACCTAAAGTTATTTAAGTTAATAAGTAGTGACAAATGTATAGATACGACATAGTGGTGGGCTGAATGAAATAATGATGAATGAATAAATAATAATGTTGACTGTTGCTGCTCATAAAATATTGTTTTTTAATCAAACGTCGCCGAACTGCTAACATATACTGTAACTATATATTTTTTTTAAATTAACCTCCTATTTGTTGTAAAATGTTACAGTCAATATGATTGACCAAGCAACATTCCTAATTTTATAAAAATTAATGTGATAATTAAAATACATAAAGTTTCAAATAACATTTTCATATTTTTGTCTTAATAGTGGGCGTCGACGGCGAGTGGTAGACCTTTGGCTATCTGTGTGCGAAATCTACCAACACGATCTACCGATAGTTCTTTGAAGGACGGCCTTTACCATGAATACAAGAAACATGGAAAAGTTGTATGGGTTAAAGTAGTTGGTCAAAACGCCGATCGTTATGCGGTGGTGCGATTTAAAAAGCCATCCGATGTGGAGAAGGCCTTGGAAGTATCACAAGATAAACTTTTTTTTGGCTGTAAGATCTCTGTGGCGCCTCATCAAAGCTGTGATGAAGATGCAGATTCGGCTAAACCTTACGAGACTGATATCGATGAGTACCACCCTAAGGTAAGATATTTACATTTTGTGTTTTTTCATTAAAACATTAAAAATAAGCATACGTAAATAAGTTATATTTATGTTAAATGTTAGATCAATTAAAATATGTTTTCATGAAACACTTTGTCTATAGAAATATAAATTGACTTAATGGTGAATCAGTAATAATATAATAAACGTGGCATGGTTGTTAATATTTAAGAGATTGGTGACTTAGGCAGTTGTAAGTAAGCGGTTAACAAGGTTACGCCAAAATAGAGTGTTACCTGTGCAAGTTCTTTTACACCATAAATGTATTGAGTTTTATAGGATTAACATAACAATTTCATTTCCGATATATTAATGCCATTTTCTTTGTATGAAGTCTTTAAAAAGTGTTCGAGCTTTTGGAAATATTGCTTATCTAATTAACTTGCATAATTAAATTGTACAATACTTACTTCCTATACTAAAATGAGACAAGTAACGTTCCTCAAGTCTCGGTTAGATTTGTTAATAAGGAAAATAAAAAATAATATTACAAATATAATGTTTGATGTTTTATAAAAACACAAAATGTAAAATTGAAATAACTAAAATGTATGTGTTACGCCTTCGCACGCGTCGAAGTAACAGAACCAAATATTAAATTTTTTAACAAAAATACAAGGGCGCAACTTCATAGTTCAGCCATAGTAATGGTTGCAAGTTGTAACCCATTAAAAAAAACTAAACCGAACATACGGTCCTTTTAAATCGCTAAAAGAACTGTACATCAAATATTTGTGACGTAGTGGTTACCTGGGAATAAAGGACAATTTCACAATGTTAAACTTACCAGTTCTTGCTATTATCTCGAATACTACCCACGATATTTTGCCCATTGTTCCGCTGTTAACATCACGTCTGTTTTAAGAATTTTATTGAAATCGATAAGTGTGCCTATAACTACTTATTTGTATAAAGGGAGACATCCGTGTGTTACTTAAGATTATTGCCATGGAATAGATTTATCTTATCGACTACAATTTTAATCTCTGTATAACTGCATTCAATCTATTCAGAATTAGAAAACCCAGTTGCACATTTTAGGCTAACGATTCTCAGCTAAAAACGTGACTGCAGAAATATAGTTATCTGGTTTTAACAAAATATGTTTATCATTGACCAATTTTTTTTGTATTCGTTGTTGATTTCAACCCTTTATTTACTTTTGGGGATTCTGTTCTTTTTTGCTTGTAAATCTTTGAATTGTTACTTTTTCGGTTTAGTTTACAAAATGTCTAAAGGATTTAGATTTGTAGATGCAGGTAACGACAGATTTTCTGAATTAAAAGTAATTCGTATATTAATTAAGGTATTTTTAGATAACATTTATTATTTATTGAGATTTGAGGAATATTACTTTTCATGGAGGGCAAATGCCTAAGTTTATCATGTATGTTTTAATTTTCTGAAAAAATTGAATTGAATATTGTTTTGGCTATTTGTAAATGGTAATTGTAATGTAATTCAGTGCTGGACTTCTTTACTTTGGCCAGTAATCCTTTATTTTACCGTCAATCGAAGAAGTTGGACGTTTCATATCATATTTATTATTCTAGTCGTTAATAGGTTCCATTGTATAAATGGGCCATCTTATTGCAAAAGGATTGTATACAATATTATTAAGAATTGTAAGTAAAAAATGGTACGAACAGTGGACGTTATTTTATAATTAGATACTTATTTCAGAGATACGTTCAAGATAATGTAGAAAGTAAAAACATCTTTCTTTATTTATATTTAACTGATATTTTTGTGACAGTTCATTATTTTATCATCTCGTAGTTTGAAAAATAAAATAATTTAGATTTTTTTTGTTTCTGTTATAGGCAACAAGGACGCTATTTATTGGTAATTTAGAAAAAGATGTAACGCAGCAACAGCTCCGAGACAAATTCAAACATTTCGGAAGAATAATTGAGATCGATATAAAGAAGGGAAGTAGTGGAGGAGCAGGATATGCGTTCTGTCAATATGCATCAATATCAAGCGTCGTGGAAGCCATTCGTGCCATGGATGGCGAAAATGTGGGCGGCTCACGAGTGAAGCTTGGCTTTGGGAAACCTGTTGCCACTACGTGTGTGTGGGTGGATGGTCTCACGGAGCACACAGAGAAGCAGGTAATTACTTAAATAAATATATTCATGAACTTTTTGCTTGTTCAGATTCTATACTGAAAAAATGACTCATTAACTGAGCCAAAAGGAGGGTTTGCTGGATAGTTCAGCAACTGATTGGCCCTCGAAGAAAACCATTATATATAACCAGGACATGTAGTTCCAACCAAATAAGTGGCTTATTGTTTTAGAACAGATTGCCATAGTGCAGAAATAAAAAAAGAAAAAAAAAACAAATATCAAAAATATCAAAAGAGTAGGTTGATTTCTGCACAAACCATGTTTTCGGCTATTATATCTACTACTCCTCAGTTAGTTACCACGGGTCTGACAACTTAGCTCGAGTTTGTTATAAACGTGACCGTGTTCTGCGTTCTGATTGATCTGCTCCAAAGTTTCGATCTCGTTAAACGAAAACAAACTCGTACTAAACCCTCTGGTGTACTCTAGTCTGTATTTAAGTATGGTCTTAAAATTTATTTGCACCAGTGCAAAGGTTCACCCTTGTTTCTTCGAACAACGTTTGATATATAATTTTACTAAATCAAACGACGTTTAAGAATTTTCAGTTCATCGAAAATTTATTTGCTATATCAACATTTGCGCAAAAGGTATAATGTTCATTTGATGTAATGTTCAGATGATATATTTTGAACAGTTAAACTAATCTTAAATTACTTGGAATTGCTTTTAGTAAATTTTTCTACCAAAATTTTTTGGTCACCTCGACGCATTTGGCTAGTTTAGGTTAGAACTCCCGGCCTGTGAGTGTTCACATGTCGCGAGCGAGCAAGCGTAGCGAGCGGTACTTTTCAAATATTTTCGTACCATTAATTACCATTTAGCTGTATATATTAAACACATTAGTTTCAATAAAATTTGTGCATTTGAAAATTCGGTGTAATTCAATTATGTAGCTCAAATAAATAATTATGCTAAATAAAAATTTACCAATGAAATATTGGGTCAAAGGAATAATTCTACGAAATGACTTTATTGCAACTAAAATACGATGAAGTGATATTCGACGAAACGTTGTTCGACCAAACAAGGTTGAACCCAGTGGGGTTTGTTTGTTTGGTCGAAAGGGGTAATTTTGAATTTACCATAGAATGCACAATATTCTGATGATGGATGCTCCCTGGACTTACCTAAAATATGTTGTTTAGGTGTTGAGCGCGGTGTCGCGATGTGGCGGTGCGACGTCAGTGTGCGTGGACCGCGCGGCGGGCGCGGCACTGGTGCACTTCGAGCAGGCCGCGGCCGCCGGGGCCGCCGTCCGCGAGCTGCGCCGCGTTGCCGCCGCCGTCTCCGCCGCCGAGCCCGACCACCCGCGACTCTGTGTAGACTACGCCTCGCGCGAGTGCCAGGTCAGACATACTTCTTTCTAATTCTATTTTCCATAGTAAACCTTCACAAATACCTACTGAACGTAGCTCCTTATTACGTGTCCCATCAATTCATGTTTAACTATGACTATGAAGCTAAAAATTAAAGTCCTCATTAAAGTGTAGAGTAATGAATATTGTAGTAATAGTGTGTATTGAATGATACAGGATGAGTCCTGAATATTTATTTCCCGGACGTATTGTAGGAGGCGTTTTATGAACAATTGGAAAAGCATGGCGGATCGGCGGCGTTGACGGGTTCTGAAAGACTGAGTGGGGATCTTGCTACTCGTTATATGCCGCCAACTCGTCATGATCCTGTTCGGTACGTATATTTTTGTATAGCCAATAAAAAACGGATTTTGTCTCTATTATTATTGTTATTAACCTATCACGAGATCAATTATATTATAATATTTATATTATTATTATTATAGATCGGTTATATTAATTCTCAGATTAATTTTTAGGTTTGACGGTACTGGTTCACGATCGAGGGCATCAAGTTACGGTCGTGCATCTTCTAGAACCCCGCGTTATTCTACATTAGAACATTATGATCCGACTGATTACGCTGCAGACCGACGGTACAGGTATATTTATTTACTTAATTTTGTTTACAGATTACAATATTATTTATAGTGTTGATAGCTAACAATTTTCTCTGTATTTGCTTCAGGGTATATGATGAAGTAGGGTCAAGTCCGCAAGCTGAAGAGACGCCATACGAAGAAAGGTTACAATCAGTTGTGGTATCACCACATCGCGCGCGACGCCACCGCCGCGATTCCAGCCCTGATGACCGAAAACATTCTAAGGTGAGGCATATTTATTTACAGTAGTAATACTGATTTTTGCAATAGTTTAGCGTTTGACCATTAATTTGCTCGGTGTTGTGATTCGATCGATTTAGTACTTGCATTTTCGGAAATTTCGAACTATTTGTCTATTCGAATTTGATATAATTGTTTTAAAAATCGTGTTTCATTTCATTGACACAGGAGAGACATCGTAGTGTTGGTACTCGACGCTCGCGCTCGGGATCACGCGGTGGAGAGCGGCACGCTAGCCGGCGCCGGCACCGGAGGCGGCGCGAGGGCTCGGGCTCGCACTCGCGCGCCGGCACGCCGCTGCGGGATGAGCCCGATGCCGGGCCCGTGGAGCCGCGCCGGCCGCCGCGCGAGCGCCCGCCGCTGCCAATGAGCCTGCCGCTGCCCAAGTTCGCCGTGCAGCTCATGCGCAGCGCGCCCTCCGCGCCGCGCCCCGAGCCCGCGCCCGCGCCTGACTCTCCGCCGCGCCCGCCTTCCGCGTCTTCCTCCAGCGGTGGCTCCGCACCGCACTCGCCCTCCTTGGAGGAGCGAATCCGCAGCCTGGACGAGAAGCTCAACGGATCGCGAATGCTCGCTGAAGCGCCGGATCGCACCCGACTTCGACACCGCCTGCTCGACGTAGATATCAATGAAGTGAAACCGTCGGAGGTAGTACGATCGTTACTAGCGAAACGTTCTGTTTTTGACGAAGATTCCGAGCGACTAGAAGGCGCCGGCCGCGCCCCTAGCCCGGGCAGCAGCCCCCGCAGCCGGCTGGCGGGCGCCACGCCGCGCGCGCTCCGTTACCCGTTCCCGGCACATCCGCCGCCGCCGGCTCCGCCCGCCGCGCTGCTACCGGGCTCGCTGGAGCTGGATTCCGAGCTAGCGGAGCACGGCACACTGAAGTTGCCTACGAGCCTGTGCCACGAAAGCCGAGGCCGTCCGCGCACTCCGCCAGCTCCTCCGCCGCCGCCTGAATCCGAGACTGAACTCGAACGTGACAATCAGCCCTGTCATAATGACAATTCTTCGCAATTCGATAGCGATACAAAACCCATTGAAAGGCACACAGATGAGTATTATTCCGCTGACGGTGGGAACGTCTCATTGATTACATCTGGTGGAACAGAAGATAGTGTTGATGGTGAAGACAATGATCGTAGTCGTGACCGTAGTAATTATTCCATAGCATCAACAAGCCTTACCAAACAAACGATCCCTGTACCTTTTAGTGCCGATTGTGGCCAAACTGCACGCAATGATACTGCCCTTCCAAAAAATGATGTTCACCGTCAAGATGATAAAATTAATAGCTCTCTTTCTTTTAATTTGGAAGATAATAGTGCTCGAGAAGTGATGGAAATGTTACTGAAACGAGTTGAGTGTAATGACTCTCAAAAGTGTGAACCACAGTTCGAAAAAATATGTAAATACAACAAAGAAAGTGTAATTAAAACAGAGCTTCACAAACACGACGAAAGACTAAAGTTAGATAGCGAAAATAAAATAGATCTTTTTTGTCATTCTGATAAACATAACAGCAGGGAAATACAAGAAAACCATATCACCAAAGAATTAATCGAATTCGAGATGCAACAAAATAATTTGAACTCAGTTAATTTTATGAAAACAAATGTAGAGCTAAATCACGATGTGAAAAGTTCCGAAAAGGTTATCAAAGACAGACATAATCACAATTATCACAACACAAAACTTGAAAAAGAAAATATTCAATTTGATAAGTCATTTGAAAAAGAAAGAAATACCAACTCTTTAGCATTAACCGATAAAAAAATGGATTCTGAAAGAAATCACGATGATCGTGTCAGACTAGACCGCGACAAAATACGACACAGTAAAGAAAAAATATTTGACAAAGAAAAGTCTGAGTCTGAAAAGATAAAAAGCAATAAATCTGAAAAACATGCTGATAAGGAAAAGAGGCCGAAGGAAGAACAACATGAAAAATCTCAAAATGATAAAAACAAAAGTGAAAAAGATGGAGAAAGAAACCAGAAAGATAAAAGTGATAAAGAACTTGAAAAGTCTAAACATAATGATGAAAAATCGTACAGACATGATCATCATAAAAAAGATAGAAGTGATAGAGAAAAAAGAAAGGAATCCCAAGACACTGAAAACTCCTCGGTCAAATCAAAGAAAGATGACAAACATAAACACGACAGAACAAAGAAGGACCATGACTCAAGAAGAGAAAGTAAAAAGGAATCTGAATCCGTAAAAAATCGTAAATCATCTAGAGATGAAACTTCGAGGGAGCTTAGTCGCAAAGATTCTACAGATTCTTCAACATCGAGAGCTTCGCACGAATCTTCCAAACTGAAAGATTTAGAAATTGACTCTAAGGACGATGGAAAATCAAAATTAAAACATATTGAATTATTTGTAAAACATGATAATGATAAAGAACCTAAATTAGATAATAAAGAAGAAAAGGATTCTGGAAATCATAAAATTAAAAATGATGCAACATCAGAGCATAATAATACAAAATTGAAAGCAGATAGTAGTGAAAAACAAAGACACTATTCTCTCGACTCTCCAAGCGTAGACAGTAAACGCAAAGAACGACTAAATTCGTGTTCAAGTTTACCATCAAATATTGGACATAAGCGAAGAATGTCATCACAAGATAGTATTGACATATTCAATGAAGATGTAAAGAAGGGTAGGAATGATTCCAAAATATCTGAAAGAAGGGACTCTAAAGAGTCTCGCTCCGAAAATAGGCATAGAACTACCAAATTCAGCAAAGGCCATTTTGCTAAGATAATTGAAAGCAAAACGAAAGATGATAAAAAGAATCAGGTAAAACCCCCGGATGACACTTATATCGAAAAAAATGCTGACCCTAAAGATACTAAAACAGTAGACAAAATTAAATCATCAAAAAAGAGCCATGGTGATGAAACTGAAGACAAACCTGCCCCTGAAGCAATGAATGAAGGACTACAGAATGATTTAGACTTTTTAGCTACTTTAGAATTACGCTCTAGTGAAGAAGATGAGAGACAAAGAGCCCTTCGAAAAGAAATGAAAGAGAAAAAACGTATACAGCAATTACAACAGATTCAAGAACTTCAGTTACAGCGGGATGCATTACATCCAACTGAGTTTATGGGAAAAAGTAAAGATGAAAAGAAACCTAAATGTGACGAGAAAAAGAAAGAAATTGCTCGTGAAAAACGAATGTCAACAGAACGGAAAAGTAGAGAGGACAAAAGTGATAGCAATAAACGTAAAAGCCGTAAACCTGTGCATAGTAGTGATAGTTCTGATTCTGATGAACCTAAAAAGCATTCAATTTTTGATATCATTGATGATGGGCCTACGTATATATCTATGTATGATAAAGTTAAAGCTCGATCATGCAAAAATATGCAAAAGCAAGAGGAGGAAAAGCGCCAAGAAAAAATTAAGGCTAAATTTAGTCAGTTAAAGCAAAGTAGAGCTAAGCGAGAGGAAAAGAAAAGATCTAGCTGGGATGAAGATAGTGACTCTGATCAGGACAGAAAGAAATATTGTTCTATGGACAATTCGTCGGATGATGACATTGTCATTCACACAAAAAGACGTGAAAAGTCACATCGATACGAATATGACTCCAGTAAAGCCGATGAATATTTTGATGGAAACACAAATGAAGAAGATCTTCGTAATAAATTGTCTCGTAAAAACTCAAGAACTCGTATTATGTCCGATACCTCGGATGACGAAGCTTCTAAAAGAAGTGTTAGTAAAAGTCCGACTTTTGGTCTGGATAATTTGAAAAAAGAATTACTCTCTGATTCAGAATCTACACAAAAAATTAAAATAGAGGTAAAAGAAACAAGCGAAAATATTAAGAAGAATTCCTTATTAAATTTATTCGGGAAAAGTGACAGTGATGATAGTAAAATTAAATTGAACCTTGAAAATGATAACGGCTACAAAACTAATTATGTTAAATCTATGTGTAATGATTTTTCATCTGAAAGCGAATCTACATGTAATAAAAATTCATTAGAAAATCGTAGGAAACATAAGAAAAAGCAGAAAAAACATAAATCAACATACTCTGATGACGAAAAAATTGATAACAGTGACACCAGCTTGCTGGAAGGATACAAACATAAAACTATTGATAAACAACGTAGACATAGCAATAGAAAAGACAAAAGGAAGGAGAAGTTGCGAGAGAGTATTGATACGGACGATACTCGTGATGAGAAAAGCAAGATAAAACGAGAGAAGAAATCGTCTAATAACAATTTTGACGGTGTTACCGATACCGTCAGTAATACAATGAAGAAAGATGGAAAAATGGAAGACATTTTTGGGCCTCTAACTGACGAATCAGATGGAGACACTCGAACACATACAGCTCATAAAATGGAGTTTTCTTCACACGAGGCTGAATCTAATTTTTCTGTGAATAACCCAGAATATAAATCGAAAGAGAAAGATGACCGACGTAAAAAGGAGAAAAAACGCAAAGAAAATAGATTTTTCAAAGACGATGATAACAGTTTGGATGTTGACGCTGTTAGTAAAGCAATAGAGGCACGTCTTTTTGCTGACGCCTTGATGGACGATGATAGTCGTATCAAAGCAGAAACACTTTCTGAAAGCCTTAATAAGTTTGAAAAGAATGATATAAAATATGCTGAAGGGAATGTAATTAGTGAAATAGTTAAACATGACAAAATAAAAAGAGATTGCAAAGAAAAGAAAAAGAAGAAAAAGAAAAATAGAGAAGACAGACAAAGTCGTAAAGAACACCATAATTATTATCAACAAGAAAAGGTTGACAAAGTAGAACATGATACAACTGAAAATGAGGAAATTTCTACTAATACGCTATTACTTGACATACCATTACCAAATGACGTACAAACGGTAAATTTTGACAAAGTAGAAAATTGCCATTCGCATCTAGGGCCGCAAAGTTTACCTCGATTAACAGACAGCCCACCGATTACTATACAGTCCGACGAAAATACAGATTCTAAAAGTATAGATTCAAGCAACACTATAATAGATGACAATAAAATGGATTACATAGAAAGCAAAGAAATTGAAATTGAAGAAATTCCGATGCCTCCACCTTTTGAAACAATTGTTACTGATATAAGTGAAGTACCATTACCAAAAGATCCTCTGCCTAGCAAACTGAACAATAATACCGAAGATTGTTTCTTATCCAGTCTTAGTAGCGACGGTGACTCTTGTGAAGATGCAGTGCGTAATATTATTTCTTCAGAAAAAGAAGTTGACAAAACGGAAAAGATGGACACAAGTTCAGACATTGTCGAAATTTCACCATGTAAAACAGAGAAAAAATCTGACGAAAAACCTAGGGCTATTATATCTCAAGAGGAGACCGAAGATGCAGTTGCTGCTTTATTGGGTGAAAGTTTTGGAGGCAAAGTAAATACTTTCTCTAGCTGTTACGAAGAATCTGAAAATAATTCAACACATCAAAATGAAATAGAAATTGCCACAATAGAAAATGAAAATATTCCGGAAGAGGATGCTGAAGAAATGCGACAAGCAGTTCAAAATTTGAATGCCAGTGAAATGGAAATGAAACCAGATACTCCTGTATCAGATAATGACTTGTTATTAATTGATACTGACACGGAAGAAAATGACGAAACAGCTCAGGATGCTATAGAAAAGTTGCCTGTTAACATCATAGCTACCAACCAAACCTTGCATGCAATAACTGATCAAAAGAAAAATTTAGATAGCCCAAATACTACAAATCCTGATACAAAACCAAATCTGGCGCCTATTGTTACAACTACTGCGACTGATACAACTGTTAAAGTAAAAGAGACTGACATTAAGATACAATTGACGAAGAGAGAGAACATCCAATTGATTACATCAACTGCAACTCCTGTCATAACCTCGTGGACATCTGCAAACAATAAAGTACAGGAACCACATATCTTAAATATTCAAGGTAGCTCTTTACCAAATAGAGACAAAATTGAAATGAAACCTACTCATATAACTGCAAATATTGTTCAAATCAAAACTGGTGCTTCGACACAAAATGTGCAAATAAATAATAATTCAACAAGGCCTATCATGAGTCAGCCTCGAGTCACAGCTCCATCATTTCAAGTTATTAATCAAATGATTCGTAGTCAAGCTCCTAACATGCAACCACCGACAATCAAGATTCCAGAGCCTCATGTTTTGTATCAAAAACCACAGGGAATTGTTATTTCCCCTCGTATGCCCAATGATCCGAGACTGCAAAGTCCTAAAGCTAGCTCTCAAAGTGAAACAATGACGTCGCCTCGTTTGACTAACATGACAATTTTAAGTACCTCACCACAAAGTTTGAATTCAGCGGGATTGACATCACCTAATGCCATTCCACAAAGATCGCCTGGTCAAGTGACTGTGGTTCGAATGCAACAACCTCCTTTGAGTCCAATTCAAACAATGCACATACAACACGGCGCAAGAACAATGCTGTCACCCAACAGACCCAACTCAGTTTTGGTTCAAACGCAAGGCACACCAATCCACTTTAACCGCTTGCCTGTCACTCCAGTCTTGACACCGATATCTAAACAAATTAATAATGTAAATAATTTGATTCAGCAAAATAAAGGAATTGGTGTGACTACAAGTCCTTTATTACATCAACAGAAAATAATATCCGGGGATTGTAGAAAAGCTGACCAAAGGAATATTCCTGACAGTCCCAACGAAAATACTAAAATAATATTATCTCCAACAAGTTTGCAACATAGCACGAATCCTACAGTAATGGCTCAAAATCGTTTGATTTCAATGCAAAATGCTATACACGTTAGTAATATGAACACAGTGCACCTCAACAATAAAGTAGTAATTAATACTGTCAGTCAACTAAATGAGAAGAGGGAGAACCCACCTCAGAAAGCAGACAAAATTAATCACATCCCTTTTGGATCAACCCCTATTATACATGTTGCTGCAGTTAATAATACAACCACTTCTATAATACAAGGTAACAAGGCTGCTCAAGGTAATATTCAAGAAATCAACACAATCAATAGAAGTCAAGGTTCAAATGTTATTCATTCTTTAGGTTCACAAAGGCTTATTTCGCCAGTCTCTCTGGGAAACGTTTTGAAAATAGACACTAAAAAAGGAGCAGCGTCTGTATTGTCCATGGCAACTATTAGACCGCCATCGATTTTAACTAAATTGGGATTGTGCACTTCGTCGACTAATACAACTACTAGCGTCACTAACGTGTCACCATTATTACTGAAAACTACATGTTCAACAGGTAGATTAAACGCTAAATTTGATACGGATAATAAAATACTAAAACCGTTGGTTTTGCAAAATCACATAAGAGATAGTGCTATAAAAGTAGAAGAAAAATCGGATCCGATTATTACTACGCTTACAGGATGCGAAGAAATTGTGAAAGACAAAAAAGATTTTAATCCAACACCAATGACATCAACTACAGATGATATTTCTAAATGTGAAACAGACTTTGAAGAATTATTGAAAGATACTACAAATGAAATAAAAATAAGCAATGATCCTGATAAGAAACTTGAAATAAATGTTGGTAAAACAGTTACATTAATTACGACTAGTAAAGATACCCACGACACACCTGTATCAAAAAGTATGGATGGTGTGAAAATTGAGAATATAAATATAAACCAAACTCCGTTCACACCGATAGCCGTCAAAAATGAACAAGAAGACATCAATAGTAATGAATCTAAGGAAATCTTTAATAAAATTTTATCCCGACTTGAAAAAGAATCAAATCAGGCAACAATTCCTCCTGAGCCAGAAATAAAGAAAGAAGGCACTGATCAACCCAGCAGTAATGATATCAATAATATAACTCCAACACAGGGTGGAAACGAATTATTAAAACTTGACAGCATTAGTAAAACCGATGAATCTGACTTCCATAACTTGTTGTGTGAAGACTCTAAAGCACCTAGCCCAATAAAAAATGATGAAAATGATTCCTGGAGTGGTAAAGATGTGAACTTGGAATCCGTTATAAAGAAGGTTGATTCTCTGTGTAATGACAATGTTGAAATACCTCAAAAAACTGAAGTCAATGATGTTGACAATGAGATGGAAGTAGACACCAACAATTCAGAAAAGATCATCAATCAAACACCTCACATTATGTCAACAACGTCTATAACTCAAATAGATAATATCACTGAGACTAAACCTGCAGAAGAGAGCATAGTTGAAAAAATTACACCTGGTACAACTGCTAAAAGAGGTGGCCGTAACGTTAGAGGCCGAAAAATTGATAAGAACCAAGATAGGGTACAGACTCGTCAGATTTCTAAACCTACGAGGGGAACTACAACTAAACGTGGCAGAGGTAGAGCTAAAGTAGATAAAAAAATTAAAGCCATTGTTACCACGAGTGGCAATGCGATGCCTGGAGACGTCTACGATTTCCATGAAGATTCTGGTGACGAATCCGCTTCATCACCAAATAAAACCGAACGCCCTAGGTTGATTTTAACAATTAAAAGCCCAAACTCCACACATTCTACCGTCACAGCAACTTCTACTCTCAGTATAGCACAAAAAGAACAGATCAAGTTAAATGACAAAAATAAGGATGAGAAAAATGAAGAGTTTGTTTCACCATCACCAAATACTCGCAAATCTCGGAGGCTTCAAGAGAAAGACGTTCAGAGGAGCACGGTAGACGATGTAATTGAAGACGTCATAAAAGGCCCTAGAGCTGGAAAAGAATCAAATAAAAAGAGGCCTACGAGACAGGCTGCTGTAAAAGCTACTCAAGAAAAGGTTTCTGACACTCGTAAATCACCTCGGGGCGCTAAACGAACTAGGGATAGGAGTCTATCGGATGCCTCTGTCGACAGTGGCGATGAACGGAGCCTTAGGGATTGTATGCGAGACCCAAAAACTCCACGTCTCGACGAACAAACTCCCGAACCCGAGCCTGAACCAGCTACTGCCCCAAGAAGTGCCCCGCCTGCAGCACAGGTTGCACCCACAGTCGTCGGACCTCAACCTGCGCCGGCGCAGTCACCCGTACACTCTGCGCCGGTCGCACCGCTCGCAGCCGCCGCAGCACATGTACCTCATGTACCCCACGTACCTCACGTGCCCCACGTACCCCACGTGCCCCACGTAACCCACCTACCCCACGTACCCCACGTACCCCACGCGCCCCATGTGTCCCACGCGCCCAACGCGAACCTTACGCCGCTCGCTGCTCATGCGCCACATGCGCCTCAAGCCCCACAAGCGCCACCTACTACTTCTACGCCCATAACTAAACCACCAAAAAAGATGATTTCGGAGATCAGCGCCAAGCTAGCGGGAGCTTTCGAAGCGGTCGCGAGCCACAGTTCGAACGCGTGTGTGGCGC